ACCAGTTGTCATGAACTATTATGTCTATCTATTGTCCTTTTGCTGTGAGGAGTGATCGAACTTTGATATGAAGAGTTGTTATAGAAATTTACTACATCCGATGTTGCCCTATAAAATACTAATCCAGGTAGTTGTTTAGCCCCCTGACAGTCCAGCGACTATATATCTCTTTCTAGCTTTCTATTTACTCATAACACTTATACATACAACCAATGTGATATTTTGGAGGGACCGGTGAACTGATAGGTGAAAATTGGAATCAATCACTGACAAAACTCTGTTTAAAAAAACCCAATTTTGTTGCTTGACTAAAATGCTTTTGTCACTTTTGAAAAACAAAACTGACAATTGTGTTAAATTGGTTTGTAGACATAGCTTAAATGTTTCCTCACATGCTGTGGGTTGCTGTTCAACCAAGGGGAAAGTTCGATCTCTGGAGAGAAATCTCTTTATTGATTCCTACACCAACAGCAATTACATCAGAGCAGACGCTGATGAGTAAGGCCTGTGAGTTCTTACATAACCTGAGGACAGTTGCCCGTCCACGTCCTGTGCCCTTTCTGCTCCCATGCCCTCGACATTCCGGGAAGCCAGAGTGTCTCTATTATAATTAGTGCTCAGCTTCCCATGTCCCCCAGGTACAGTCTCTGTCCCATCTGAAACGCCTGTCAGGGGAAACACGCAGCCAGCCAGCAGAGTTCAGGAGCCCAGGGGTTTTGCTTTCTATACTGACTGGAATTCATGCATTTGGTGACCACAAGGAAATGTTCTCTGTGTTTTATTGAGTCCAACGTGCAGTGTTACTCCAAGACCAACAACTGATTTTCAGGAGAGGTTTTTTTTTTTTCAGTGATATCCCACCTTTACACATGTTGTTGTTATTAAATTTCAAGGTTGGTTCTAAACCAGGATTTTAGCTGAGTGAGATACTGAGATCTGGAGAACTAAACATTTTACTGCACGCGGCATAGAGGTTTGGTTCATTAAAAATGCGCATGATGTTGTACAGGGGTTTGTTGATTATTAAGCTGTCACCGGATGACAACACAATATGCTCATCCTTCCACTAGAGGGCACCTCAATAAATATATTAAACCCAAGTAAGCAAGGCTTTCCACAGTAAAAAGACAAATCAAACTCTGGGAAACATGAATTTATTAGGTACAATCAGTGTACACAATAAAAACACATAAATACTTAAGTAGAGCTACATATGGTTGGGGGGATTTATGACCACAGAAGAAAATCCAAATTTTATTTTTTATTGATTGATTCACTTGTCTATCCATTCATTCACATATACTTATCTTCACCTAATAAGCCAAAGAATTTCAGAATGAGAAAGCAAGCCCAGGAATCATAATTATCATCTTTGTTTTACGGGTAGACACAATGAGGCTCAAAGAGGAGAAACTGTTTACCCAAGTCCATTTCGTTAATTGATTCTGGAATCAGAATCAGACTTCCGATCCTCTGACTCACAATTCCATGCTCTATTCACTACATCAAATTTTAAAATATTGTGGAAGTTCAAAGAGAAATAAACTTCTGTTTCTGAGATTTCAGAAAAAAATCACCTGCAGTGATTTTTTGGTACAAAATAGTATGTGTTCCATCTTCCATTTGTTTACTGAATGTTTCTTTTTTTCAAGTCGCGCTTTGCACTCCTTGGGCCTGTCTTCTCTTTGTGGCAACCAATGGGATTACAGTTTCTGGCCTTGAAAATCCACAGGCCTGGGTAAGTGCTGGTGAAAGAAACCTCTGTACGTTAAGTCAGGGGAAATGTTGCGTTTTCCCCTTCAGCTTCAGAGAAAAAGCATATGGCATTGCACACAACAAAAATGTTGTTAGTAAAACGCCTGGACGTTAGATATTGATGTTACATCATGTGAAAGCAACTCTGGACGTTAGATATTGATGTTACATCATGTGAAAGCAACTCTCATCCTGTAAAAAGATTCTCATTGGCTGACTTAAAAAATGTTTTGTGGTGGAAATGAAATTGAACCTCCTTTCTGCTTTCCAGGGGCCACCCACATGCATCCCTTTTCATTTTTTAAGCCAGAGGAAATCGCTAAAGCTTCCCTTTTCTTACACTTCCATGGGGTATTATGGTTTGGAAAGAGTTCTTATTTAAACAAGGAGCTTGAGAGTCTTGTCTCATAGAAATGAACAGCATCCAGGGGCTTCACCTGCTGCCCACGTACTCTTAAGCCAACTAAGGAAATAATGGCATTTCCTTTACTTTCTCGTTCTCCACATGTTCACACATATCTAGCCTTAAGGTACTTTAAGTGTTACGTTTCCATTGTTTTTTTCCGAAATGGTGGACTCGAGTTTGGAAATTGCATCTGTCTTCATGATCAATGGGCATTGTTATGCAGGTGGCTCAGTTAGTACAACTGGCCTGGGTCAGAGACGAGCCTGAGATGAGACTGTTAGTCATGCTCAGGTTGACATCATCCTAAATCTGTTGGACGTGGCCTCTGCTCCTTCTTCCAGGGTTCCTCAAGGAAGTTATTGCTCCTCTGGTCATAGTTGACAGTCAGAAGATCCTAGATGTTTGTGTGTATGGATGAATGAAATGTCAGTTCTGTTCCTCCAGGACCATAGCTACTGGAAAATAAAGTACACTGAATTCCAACATGGGATCACCTACAGCACTAGATGTGGTAACCACAGAATTCGGAAATGAAAACGTCCTGGTGTTTCTCTCCTGTTCTTGCTTCATGGGAAACCAACAAGCGGAGCGTGAAGGTCATGAAAAGTCGAACCAGCTGGCTGTTTTCCATGCTGCTCCCACCCCGTGCCTGTTTCTATCACAATTCTTATGATGTATTATAATCAGTGAGCTCCTTTCCTGCGTCTTCCTCCTTGCTGTGTATCTCAAGAGCAGGGTCTATCTCTTGTTTTTCACATAATGTTATTATTTATCACAATGCCTAATACATACGGATAACTCAGTGTTTGTTAAATGAATGAATGAATGAATTGAAAAAGCCAACGAAAAGAAAAATATATGATGATGTAAGGCTAAATGTTTGAAAAACTCGAACATAAAATAGGTTTTGAAGGAAGAAAACATTTGCCAAAAATCTTTGGCTCAGTCTATATAGACATTCAGCCTCTTTACTAGAATGAAATCTGGTAGAGAGATTCCACTCTCCTGAGTGTAAGACTTAAATCATTTAGAGCAGAACTCTTAGGGAAGCATGTGTAAAATGAAAAAGAAAAAAAAAAGCCCATATGGTATTACAATGTAAGTATGTATTTGGGGGGAAAAAATTAACACAGCACAGAGCACACCTATCATTTTTATTACAACAATCTACAGAAAGTAAAGATTTACAAAATCTTTTTGGTAGGAGGGTATATAAAAAAAGATTGATTCTCCCAAGTGGGGGAGTGAAGTCCCCAGGAGGGACATGAGATTTTTATGTTCATCTAACATGAGCTTAGCTTTTAGAAGGCTGGGAAACAATAACGTGGCGTAAATTATGCCTCTGTTCCTGGGGCCCTCTGCTTGCTCTGCCCGAGTTGCAGCGTCAACAAAACCTGAGGGCTTTATTAAACAGGGTAGTTTCTGTTATTCACTCCAATCTGAGAAGCCTGGGGAAATGGCTACACCACTCAAGCAGGTATCTACATTTTCCTTAGCTTCTGCTGAGCATTTACCATCCACTTTCCAGCTCTAGGCCAAGCGCAGGGTTCCGTGCCTCTTCCATAACTGGGTCACGAACAGCCTCTCGCCCCTTTCCTTCAGTCTTCCCAGGGCACAAAGCCTTGCAAACCTTCATCCAGGCACCTTTCTCCTGTCTGCCCACCGTTTAGCAACTAGGTTCCAAGCCATCCAATATCCTATTTTACCTACCATTCTCATGGGTACAGCCCTTCTGAATTTATGAAGTGTTACTGCATACATAGTCCTTTCAATTAAAAAAAAAAAAGGCCAGCAGTTAAGAGCTGTAAGCTCAGTGCAGAAATTGCCCACCCTGCAGGCCAGAGGTAGGTGGTCAGTCCCCACTGCCTAGGAAAGAGGACCCTAAATCTCATCAAGTCTCTCCACCTACATAACTGCTAGTTTACAGGAAATACCCAGGCTAGAGAAACATGCCAAATGATACCAGGGGATCCCATCACTTGGATGTGAGAAATTTAACAGGACAAGTGACCTGCTTTATTCAACAATAGGTATCCAGGAAATGCAATGTGTTAATCTTGCTTGGATCCCAATTTAAACAAACTCACTGACAAAAGGCATTTTTCAGACAACCTGGGAAATTTAAATACAATCTGAATATAAGATGATTTTAAGAAATTGTTGATTTTCAAAGTTAACCTTGAATAAAATATTTAATGAGACATTATTATTGATAAATTTTTATAAAGTGGATATTGTAGTTATGTTAAATAAATTTGTTGTTTAGAGATACATTCTAAAGTGTAAATAGGATAAATAGTATTATGTCTAGGATTTGGTTTGGAATACTGCAGCAAAAGAAAACGAACAAAACAAAAACAGAGAGTGTGTGCTTGTATATGCACTCATAAAACAGAATTGGCGAAATCTGAAAATTATTAAACTGGCTGACAGATACCTGGGGCTCTTTATTTAACCAATTTCTCTGCTGCTGTGAATATTTGAAAATTTCTACACTAAAAAGTAAAATAAAAATTTCTTAATTTTAAAGAGAAAGAGATCAGGAGGGATTTGACCCTGTTGAATTCTGCTGAGGGGTGGAATGAGTGAAATTTCCTGTTCAGCTTAGTGACTGCTGTCATTGGAAATCTTGGTGAGAGTTGTTCTGAGGTCAGATGGGAGCAGAGGGGAATTAGGGTTGAGAATGATTTTTCCCCCCACAATGGGAGAGACAGACTTTTAAAAATCTGACGCAACGAGAGCTTAAATACACAAAAGAAAGAAAACGTAGCCAATAGGACAAGGTCCCCAAGAAAGGAGGAGGGGGTGAAATCCGATGCACAGGAGCGGGCACTGACCTTGGGTAGGAGAAGGGAAGCTGCAATAGTAGAAAACGGATGGAATGGGTGCAGGTGCAGTACTTGGTATGTTTGGATCAAAGAGGGGAGATTTGCTCTCTGCTGACATCTGTTTTCTGTGTCAAGTACAAGGAAAGAGTTTCAGGTAGGAGGTATAAAAAACCTCAAATCAAAAAATAAAAAATAGGTAGAATTTCAGGGCAGTGCTGATGTTCAATTTATCGTTACATATGTCCTTCCTGTGATGCCATTGCCTTAGCACTCCAGTGTTGGGGTGTTGGCCTAGACAAAGGGGAATACTGGGTACATGCAGGTTGAGGTTTTGCCTGGCAGGATGAAAACAGAAAAAGACAGGGAGGATAGGGCGCTGATAGGCGTTATTACTAAACTAAATTATCTTGCAATTTAAGTTGGGTTGAAAGGAAATGGGGTTGGTGGATTTCTAGCAAGTAGAAGGGTCACGGATTAGAAGTCACAAGGAGGTGTGAGACTGTCACTTTGGTAAGCCTGAAGGGAGGCAGTTGTGGTTGGAGGGGGGGATGCTACGATTAGCAAGTTTACAGGCCGGCATTGGTGGGTAATACAATGACAAGGTATAAGCGTGAATCAGTGACAGTGGGGAGCGGAGGAAGTGAATGGCTAATTGGATTGGAAGTCACTTTTCAGCATTAATGGCAGTTCATTCAAGAAGCAAAATAATTTCTAACAGCCCTTGCCCAAGAGTTGCAGGCCCCAAATACTCTGCCACTATAAAGCGGGCAACCAGAGAGAAATGGACCATTTTTTAGAGCTTTCCTAGGCAACAGTACACACAGAAAAAATCTCCTTGCGTCCCAGAATCCCTTTGCCTAGATTGCCCTTACAATATTCTTATAATGTAAAAAAGGGATTAAGAACTATGGGACAGAAAGTTTTTCTATTTTATTAAAATAGGGATCCCAGAAATCGATTGACTCCATTTGTCTTTTCACGCTTAGGAAGAGTTGGGCCAAGAGACCTCCTGGGCCAGGAGGCCGGCCAGGATGCACAGAGCCCAGTGCCAAGTCCTGATTCATAACTCTTCCTCCTGGTTAATGAGCCCTTCCCGAAAAGAAGACAGTCTGAGCAGAGAGCCGCGCAGGCTCACTGCTGCTTTCACAGTACTGTGCCCCCACAGTCCTCCAGCCATGGTGCCAGCTCCACTGCCAAGATGCTGTGGAATGCTGGGGCTACAGCAGTTCCTCAGGAGGGCTCAGACCCAGCCACTGGAGGAGCCCATGACCACCTTGCTCCTGGGCTGGCCTAGGCCTGGGGTTGATACGCCCATCAGGGAGGGACCCTCAGGCCATCATGCCAAATGTCTCATCTCCTTTTCTCCTTCCACCAAGCCTGTTCCAGTCAATCTATCTCCTACTTGCAGAATGGGAAAGAGTCACCCCACTTTGCTCTCGGCTTTCTGCCACACTCAAGTTCATGTACACCCATGGGTCTCTTCTTAAGGTGCAGTTGGCAGTGAGGCACCAAGGAGAATGAAGAAAGCCTCTGCAAAGTATCTTCCATCATTTCTTTTCAACAATATTGACAACACTGTGCTATTAGCCAAATGCTGAGCTCAGTGGTGGAAAGCAAAGCAATAAAAACATACATCTTTCATTTTCACCGGATCAGGACAACGGAATTAGAGCAAATTGAAGCAAAATAAAAGAAAGAACACAATTGGCACATTTAAATATTATAGTATTGTTATTGCAAACACAAAATATTAGACAAGCGCTTTACAAATGAAATGCTACCTTCAGGCAACATGCAAATTTGTAACAGGGGAGGTGAGTACTTCCGTGGCAGGTGGCTTCTACAAGCAGGGGCTGATGACCCTCAGGGCCCACGGCTAACTGATGTACACACCCTGGATAAGCTCCAAAACCCTCTTCTCTCTCACACACCCTGAAGACCAAGGAAAACCTTGGAAATACTAAACGTACTCTCATCAGTTTTCATTATTAATAGATGGACGTATCAACCCACAGGGTTATAATTTATATATCATGAACTATAGCCATAATTTGTCTTAGCAAGGTTTAACAACATAACAAATATTCTTTAAACCACTTTAGAACAATGATTATTCTACCTGGAAATATTCACAACACAGTTCACTCAACTTGAGTCTTACTTTTGCCCAATGAGTTTACACCACCATATTGCTCCATCATGTCCTCTTATTCAGGGAAATTCTAGCACAGCTCTATTTTGTCACTGATTTCCAGGTTCCTATAGACCATAGTACTATGCTCTGTCCTAGGGTTCAGTTTATTTTTAAGGCACATAGAAAAATTTATCAATGAGAAAAACATTCTACTTAGAAAAAAACAACTGTACTTTTCCAACTTACTTACAAAGGCCAAGTTTGGTCCGATTACACACTGGAAGGAGGTTGTTTTGTTTTTGTTTTTTCATTGCTCCCATTAAAAAAATCCATCAAGACTGGATCTGGGATTAACATGGTTTCAGGATCTGGGCAATATTAGGTCCCTTAATATCCTGGCTACAGAAGGTAGATCTGAAAAATTTAAAGGGGGGAAAAGGATATTAATATGATTCCAGGGGAAAGAAAAACATTGGTAGATCTTCTATTTTAATGAGTAATTATTATTTTGTAAACACTTTTGAAAATATAGTATTGATTTCTTAAGTAATTTTCCTTTTCTTTAATTGCAAAATTTCAAGACGTACACATTTTTATACTAGTTGCAAAATTTAAATTATATGTGCGTTTTAAATACCATCCATAAAATTCAAACTATGAAAACGCAAAGGAAAAGGCAGTACTTACTCATACCCATGTTTTCCAGATATATCTATCACCATTTCTGCTCCCAACTTATTCTGAGAACGTCCGAATGAATGTTCCTTCCAAATGAACTCAATGCTTGTAACGTTTCCAACATTAACATCTGCATCAATTAATTTTGTATATGTCACGCCTGGCTTCAGTGTTCCACTGTCAACAGAAAAATAAGACTCATACTCTCGTACTGGGTCTTCACGATGCCAGAGCGAAAGACAACATCTGTGTGTGTGCCACAGAAGGGAAATTTGCATTTGCTGGCAGGTGCTTGTAAGGAGATTTCTTCTTTCTATTCGTGTTGGTCAGCATCTCAGAATAGCAGGGCTCTGAAGCTTGAAAGAAGGGGGAGGTGAAGGGGGAGCTTGACTAGCTGATTTTTAGGGGATGCCTGGATAGGCATTACCTTGATGAGTTCTCCATAATGAACGATCTGGTCTTGGCTTTGTAGTATCAGAAACCAGATTTTATTGACACCAGGAAATGATCCGATTGTCACTGATGGACTAATTCACCCAAAACTGATCTATAAACTAGAAGCCTGTTTATCAGCTCACTGTGGAGAACTGCTTCCTTGGTTGACCAGGACTTTCCCGCTGGTACCTGCTTTTTCTGTATAAAAAGCACTGGGTGAACAAACTAGGGATCAGAAGGTGTTTGGGTGAGCATGGCACTAGAGCAGGGTGAAGTGGACTGTCTTGAGGCATAAGGCAAATTTATTCAAACCAAAATTAGACCCGATGAGGTTTCCTTACCCCCGCTATTTCTTTATTCCTTCGTTAATTTATGGTCTGTCTCCTCTAATTGGGAGATAAGCGCCACATGAGGAGGACTTGTGTCGATATCCCCAGCAATTAAAGCAATTCCTGGCATATGGTAGGCATTGAAATGTTTGTCGAATGAATGAATGTTGCTATTGCTCGAGCCTGTCTTACTCCATTTCATGTAGAATTAATTGGTTTAATTACCAGAAGGCAACTTTTGCTCCAAATTCTTAAGGGTAACCTCCCTGAACTGCCTTGCAAACAAGTGCAGCCCTTCATAACAGTGTTGTTAGAAGCTCAAATAGTTGAAATATAGTCTAAGGTGAAGCAAGACTCTTAAAGCTCAACTGAAGAATAGGAATAGATTAGTGTACACATTCACGTAGTTGGCTTCATTTTAAGATGAGATGTTTTACCGTGAACTTGAAATGCTTTATTATTCTTAAAAGAGGATTGGGTGACTATGTAACAAGACATCGGAAGTACAGAAATGGCAAAAGATTCTCACAGCTCTCAAGAGGGGCAGGAACTGTGTATTCATGCCTACCTGCCCAGACCAGGGGCCTCTGTGCGGGGCACAAACCGCACAGCTTTGGGCTGTGGGCCTCACAGCTGCAAACACATGATCGTGTTAAAGGGCTCTCAGAGTCATGAAGAACCGGTGGGCTGAGACATGCTAAGACAGGGAAGGGTATGTAGAACAAAGGAACAGCACTGGTGAAGATGGCAAGGGAGGAAAAGGAGGGATCTAGTCAGTGTTGGGTGATGCAATCAGAGTAACCTGGCTGAGCTGAGGATGAACGAAGCCACCTGGTGGAGACATGGCTAGAAAGGTGGGCTGGGGTATGCGCGTTAACTGGGGTCCAGGCGATCGCGGCCTGAACCCATCTTTACTGGGAGTTGCACCAACGCAAGGGGCTGTGCATAAACTCTGCCAGAGTCATTAACTCGATGCACCCTCCCACTGACACAATAACCACAAAATCGCTGCTTTTCACGACTCCACCCAGTGCTCGAAGTGATGAAACCACAGAGGCAAAACATCCCATCCATCCATCAGTTTGCAAAAGGGCAACATCTAATAGGTGTGCATAATGTGAATTCTGAAATGAATTACAGAACTAAACTATAAAAGTGAAATATGTAATACAGAAGAGCTAAGGCTGATCAAAGAAAAGGTTAAGGTAAACAATATAAAAGGGGACTGCAGCCCCGGATACGCAGTCAATGTCTCCACTGAATTATTTCTACTTGTCACTGTTCCAACCCATGTCCCACATCTGTGGGTACCACTGAGGCAGCTTATTAGAAATCTGGCAGTTGATATGTCTTATTTCATAAGGAATCTGAAACCTATACAAATAAAAACATGTGCCCCAGTTTGTATTAAATGGACTGTATAACCAGATAAATATATAGTATCTTATTTACTCTCCTGTCAACTTTTTTCCACTTGTTTCATTATCTAGATCTGTACTGTCATGTTATCATTTCCTAACATTTTCTGTTTGTAGTTCAAACTGTGGAGCAAGTATGTATTATATTATGATTCCTATTTTATATCGTAAAAACAAAAGTCAAGTATAGCATGAGGGTCCGCCGCATTACAGGAACAGACAAGACTGAGCCAGTCCACCCGAGCGCCCGGCACCGTCACCTGCTGGCCCCTGCCCTGCCTACCTGGTCACCTCCAACTCTCCTGTGTTTCTGGTCATTCCACCTACACGGAGAAATATGCTCCCTTGAGTGACATTGTTTCCATCGATTTTGACAGATAATTTGTGTCTCCAACCTGGAAACAGAAAAAGAGAAAGAGAAAAGGGCAGGGGGCAGGGGTGGGGGGGAGAGGGAGAGATATGAAGGGTTAAAAATATGTGAAAAACATGACAGCTCGGGCACTTTAATGTAAATACAACATTCAGGATTCAAGTGGACAAAGCTGTTCACGTTCATGAAAATTTACAACTTTAGATAGCGTGAGTGAATTTGCTGAAAAAATACATTTAAAATACATATAAATGTTCACATTTCAATTTTCCACACATAACCAGTTTAATGATATGTTAACAAGAAAATTCTTCAATTTTCCAGGCACTCTTAGGACTTTTTAAAATAGAAGTTGCTTGTCTTCGTCTGTCCATTTCCTGTGTGTCCTGTATCACGTATTACTTTCCATACCCAGGTTTTTATTTACCACAGTTTGACAACTAATCCGGAAAGTCTAGAAAACCTATTGGGCAAGAAAGTCTGTGCTTTTATAATTACTTAGAGGTGACGTGAATTGTTGCTTCCTCTCCTGCAGGCATGTGTGCCAGGAACGCCCAGTCGGTACAGGTCTGGGTCAGCCACAAACCTGCCAACAGGACAATGCCCTTGCAAATGGTCAAGTGTAACCTTAAAAAAAATGTAATGAACACATTTCTCATTCTGAATTTTGAAATTGTTACATGCTTAATAGCACACTGAAAAAGTGCAATTCTTCATAAAATTGTTTGAAAAGCATCTGAAAGGATAAAACCTACTAGAGAGGAGTTTCAATCCATTAATCATTGCCAAAGAGTTCGCTTTCCCTCCTCAGCCCATTCCACTGAAGACTCCCATCGTCACTTCTCCGCTGACACCAGTGTCCCCAGGCTCCCCAATGATGGAATGGGTGCTTCATCCCATGAGCCCCTGGGCCCCCGTCTGCTCGAACCTTTCGGCGTTTCCGGTGCAGTGAGTGCATCCTCTCTTCCTTCCTTGCTCACCCTCTTTTTTTTCTTGGCTCTTTGAACTACCACCCCCACACTGATTTTCTTTCTTCCTCTTTGCCCATTCCTCAGCCTCCTTGGCCTCTTTCTCTGCTCTCTTTCTCATCCATTTGACACGCTTTCTTGGGTAATTACATCACTAAGTTTCACAGTTTTGATTACTGTCTAAACGCAGGTGACCCTCAAATCTCTATTTGTAGACCTCAGCCATGTCCCTAGGAGGACACCCATGCCTCTAACTGCCTAGTGGGCACATCCTGAAGGCATCCCCAACCTGACGTGTTAGAGCCTGGGCCCATCAGCTTCCTTCCAACCAGCCTCTCCTCCTGCGTTACCAAGTTCAGCGAATGACATGTCATCCACCCAGCCAGAACCACCCTTGACTTCTCCATTTCCTGCATCCCTCAGATCCATTCACCAAGTTCCTTTTTGCTGCCACCTCCTAACCATCTCTGTATTCTCTCCACTTCCCTCTATGCTTCTGCCTGGATTGTTGCAACAACTGTTCTTCCTTTCCTTCCCAGCTTTATTGAGACATAATTTACATATAACATTGTGTAACTTTAAGGTGATGATTTGATTTATATATGTTGCAAAATGATTAACACAATAAAGTAAGTTAACACACCCATCGCCTCCCATAATGGTGAGACACACCTGTCCTAACAGGTCACTCTGTCTCCATTTGTCCACCTCTAATCCACGCAGCAACTAAAGTGGTTTTCCTAAAACAACAACAACAACAACAAAACCCTGCTAATCTTAATGCCCTTTAGTGGCTTTCCATTAGCCCAAAGGCAAAGCCCAAACTCCCCAAGTGGTGCACAGTTTCACATTTGACCCAATGTACCTCTTGGGCCTCATCTCACATTACTCTCCTCCTGGTCTCTGTGAGCTCAGCAGTGGGATCTTCTTTCAGTTTTGGCTCTTTCTTTCCTCCAGGCATTTACCTACACAGGTCCTTCTACCTACAATACTCCCCATTTTCTTCTCCCACTTACCCATCTTTCAGGAGTCAGCTTAGAAATCACTTTCCCTCAGAATGCTCCCCTGACCTGGTGTGGAAGCTCCTCCTTTGTCTCTTCACACAAGGTTTACTGAAACCGAGATTTTTAAATTTTTTTGCTGTCTTCTCCATTAGCCTAACTCACCGCATCCCCACAGTCTGGTCCAATGCCCACTTATTTAGTAGACCCTCATTAAAAACTGTTGAATTAAATTAAAAGAAAAAGAACCATAAAGCATTACAATGAAACTTAGCTATAATACTCACGGGCAAATGGGGAGAAAGCCCCAGTGTTTAAAAAATAATATGGTCTATTAGGCTTCTGATTTCTGAGGTGAAATCTATCAGCAAAATGACCCATCGTTGGGCAACCTCCTTTGGGACAATGGAAGCAATTTCCCTGGTGACAGATAAATACGAGGTAATCAGAAATGCAATTAGAAATGTTGCCCTTCAATAAACTTATGTTATTAAACTATAATAAAATCTTTGGAATTCAAACAAAGAACGTGTATATGCACTTAAAAATGGCTTCGTTGCTTAAACAGGCCACCCTGCCTGTTTTCAAAAACAAAATACGAGAAAAACAACTAGGGGAAAATAAAGGATAGCCTGTTAGAAAAATGGGTAAACGATGTGAGCAGACAATCCACAGATGAGGAAACTCAAATAGTCAATAACTACACAAAAAGATGCTCAATCTTACCAGTTGTCAGGGATGTGCTAATTAATTAACACAACATGCAATTCCATACTCAGTATATTTGCAAAAATTAAAACAATTGGCAAACTCAAATACTGATGAAGACATGGAGTGAGGGATTCTCATGTGCTTCTGATGAGAATATAAATTGACAAACACTGCAGACAGCAATTTAGCAATGCACGGAAATGCACAGAAAGGCACATACGATGTGACAATTTCCCTTCTATACACCGCAAAGAAACTTCCCCCCAAGTCTCTAAGGAGACATGCGGAGGTGTTTATTGCTGAATTGCTTTTAATAACAAAAACTGGAAACAACCAAAAGGGGGAATGAATAAATAAATTGTGACTAATTCCTACAAAAATTAATATATAGATCTATACCCATCAATGTAGATTTTAAATTGATAAAATTTAATGAAAAAAGCAAATCCAGAAAGATACATACAGTATGATGCTATTTATTTGATATATATGTTCCACTTCAAACTCTGCCTTAGGGGAGGTAATAAGGGGATATAAAATAATTCAGTTCTTTAATTTTATTTTTATGTTTTAAAAATCTAAAGCAAAACTAACAAGATGACTTTTAAAAAAAGCTGGGTAGCAGTGTTTGAGTAGTTGCTATTTTAGATTTTTGAGCTTTTAGATATTAACCGTGGACATCTGGGCTAGGACTATAGTAAAACACCCCCATTTAATGCTATTTTTTAGCACTGTCACTACATGGAGGTAACTATCAGAAGAAACAGCTCATGGAGTTAAAAACTTTGCTCTAGGGAATGGAACTCTAGTAAGGAGAGGACTGTTTTTTAAATACAATTTTTACCACTTTCATTTTTGTTATTTGAAATTGTCTTGATGATTTTCTACTTTACATGTTTAAATTATACATATTTGCAACATCATAAAAAAACCACAAAAAACTCCATTTTTAATGAAGGAAAGTAATAACAGCTCATGTTTACTGAGTGCTTGCCGTGTGCCAGGCACTATTCTAAGCACTTTAAGTGCAATTACCTCAATTAACCCTCACAAAGTCCCTTCCTATGACAGAGCTTTTAGTCTGCCTATTTTACAGATGTGGAAACTAAAGAGAAGTTAAACAATTTGTCAGCGTTGCATGTCTGGTAAGGGATGGCTCAAGAACGTGAACCCAGTCAGCCTCATGCTAGAGCCCCTCTTTTTATGTTACTTTTAAATTTTATTTGTATGTGTATTTGGGTAAAGTACAAAACAACAGGTCTAGGAGAGTGACTCGATGTTCTCTAAGTTTGTAGCCATAACTTGCACAGAAGTCTAAGGCTCTCCAGCCTGGCAGATTGAACCCTATTATCTCTGAATACACCAGGACTCGGAGGGGCTGCTTCCACCCGTTTGGTCAACAGCAGGACCCTTTAGTTACTCAGAGCAGCATCCGGGCTGGTAGAAAGGGATGGGGGGGGGGGGGGGGGGTTGGAGGAGAAGGAAGTCACAGGGGACAATGCCAGTGTGTGGCTGTCAAGCTTTTTGAGAACGGAAGTCCCCAAGGCACATTATGAGTAAGGACAACTGACTCCGGAAACTAAGAAGACCCCTGAGGGCATCCCCTCATGTGCCCTGTAACAGGAGGGAGTGCGCACTCCTGCCCCAATGCTGCACTTAGTTACAAGGTGCTATTACTTAATTAAACTTCAGCTGGAACCCCTACATTGTCTTTCTACCCTGGGAAAACAGTGCCCTCTACACACACAAGGGAAAATATTTCCACTTCCCTCTACAAAATAGATTTTCTTTCTCCTTTTCACAGTGATAACCAAATGAAAAATATGTTTAGCTTAGATCTGGCACCATGTGCTTTATGACTCAAAATCAGATTTGGTGTTTTGTCACATATTTATCTGGGTGAAACTCCTGTGAGCTATCTATGCCTTAGTTCTGCTCTGTATAAATAATTAAATTTTAATAAAATAATTTTAATGTTCCAAGTGAAGACTAACATGTTTGCTTGTAGCTATTGATTGGTTCAGCTTTCTTGGGCATCTTTGAAGATGACATTTAAAATACATACACAGAAAAATTTTTGCCCTGGATTTACTCCTATTATATAGTAGCATCTAATTACTGCATAGCAATGGCCCAAAAAGCAAAATTGGATATAATCTTCAAAAGAGCTGAAACAACCAGAATACAAATAGTTGGTTTAGTTATTTAAGCCCTTCAGCAACCTCAGCTACTGTTCAGCACTCGGCACAGAAAGAAATCTGTATTCCAAAATGGCAGAGAGATGTTTTTTTTTACCACACACACTCAAAACCTTTTTAGTTGGCTGATCATGCTTCAAAAAATGACTTGCTAATTAAATTCCACTGCAAAAATGCTTTACTTACTGCTTTAAAAGATTCGTAGGATCTACAAGGATAAGCAATAAAAGCATCAGGGTTGAGAATGCTTTCCACATAAAAGCGATGACTTCGGGCATGGTTGCAATCAAAGAAGGAAGTCACTTCTGTGAAAACAATTTCCAATTAACTGATAGCAATGAACTGATTAACTGATTAACTGAGAGTATGAATCATTTCTTAGACAAAATAACTTTAAGGTCTGACTAAGGTCTAGACAGACAGACAGACCTTACGTGTAGGCTTGGATATTACACAACACATCAACATTACATATTATTTTCTTTGTACCAAAGAATTCTTTGTGTGAATGTAAAGGGACATTCAAACAGGGTAAACAAACAAATGCCAGTGTAGATGACTCTGCGCTCTGACACTAATATCCCCCAGCTCCCCAGATCTCTGACATAAGCACTTGGCACTTTAAGTATCCCTGTGCATGCAGCTTCTCCACCTTAGACCAATGAATTCTGTCCCCGTTTCTGCAGGAAGGACCGAGCTCCCCCCTATTCAATCACAAAACAGCCAGCAACGTTAACCAGTGCACACCTTCAGCTGAGCCCCAAGGTCTGACAGCTGGGAAGTGTTATAAAGAATGGTAAAGACAAATTCGTTTTGTCATAGTCAGGCATAACATTATTGCCACCAATATTTAGGATTATTGCAATAATAAACAAGAGGGTTCTGAACACAACTGTGCATTCTGGCTATAGCATCCTAGTCATTTATGCTCTTTACCTTACATAATAACATTTTTACTGGATGGCATGAACTGTTACCCCAATGACATACACAGCTTGGCTGATCTTTGAGAAACTAGATTCTGGTTTTAGTATATGTGGTAAATCACTATTCTATAAGAATGATCTCCAGTGAATCACGCCTTTCTAGGTCCTCATGCGATAACATGAAATCACATGAAAACATGCGATTTCATGTTATCATGTCTCCCTTCAAGAGATGGGGCCTATTTTTTCACCCTGCTGGGTTACAGGCTAGTCTCATGACTTGCTTTGACCAATAGAATGTGGAGGAACTGACACTGTGCCAGTTCCAGGGTCCTGGTCTTAAAGGACCTTCCCGTGTCCACACTTGCTCTCTTGGAACCTAGCTTCTATGTTAAGACATCCAGGTTAACTGGCTGGGGAGAGAGGGCCCGAAGGATAACAGCTCACTTATCGAGGAGAGCAGGTACCACGCCCCAGACATGGAACGCCATCTTGGAACTTCCCACTCAGCTCGGCCCAGCCCAGTGTCCAGCTCAATGCGATCACATGAGTTACCCTAGCTGACCACATTGCAAAGCAGAATCTTGGCAGAACTCTGCCTGAATCTTGAAGCCTCAGAACCCTGGGCATAAACCATTGTTCTTTTAAGCACTATGGTTTGTTATGAGATAGCATAATGTCACAAACGCAACATAGTCAGCAGAGATCAATAATTGGCATCATCCTTTCTTTTTTTAAACGAGGACTCCTCTTACATCAGGTCTTTTAATAGATTTATATCATAATTGTGATTTAGACAAGATGGCTGATTAGAATATAGGGAACTGTGAATTTTAAAAGTAATGGTTTCTTAGTAATAAATATAATGTAAGATGGAATATCTTGAAGTCTTAAACTCATTTGAAGACTTAACATGATTGATAAAAGTGCTTTTAATCCAATAAAGTTGTAGGAAATTGTCTCAAATTATAGCTTATGACAAATGCATGTATTACTTGAATTAATCCTTTACAGAATTTCAAATGCTCTGTGTATAACACTTAATATAGTTATATAAAAGTGTCTTATATCTTATGATCTATTTTTTATCCTAATAGGAAGAATTTGAAATCATAATGTGGAAAATAAGAAGATAAATAAGTTTTATATATGCTTTTTGTATGAATGCTGCTTATCTGTAATGTGGGATTGGCTTTAATTCTCATTTGAGTATCTGCAGGTTCTCTAGATTTTTTTTTAAAGTAGTCATTGCAAATAGATACTTTTAATCACATTTATGCTTTCAGAACAGATATTAAAATTTTGTAATTTATTTCTAGTAAAGAAGCAGCAATTTGAGCTCCTCTCAATGTCATGGTCTCTGTGTCTTTACAGCCGATGGAAGATCAAATACTCACATCATCTGCGTTTTCTGACCACATGGGATTAGGTGGTGAGATATTTAGAATCACCCAGATATTTATCATATCATCATACATTATATTATCATGTATTATTATATATTATATATATTTCATTACTTATATGATGATAATATATAGATATGGGAAGGAATGGAATTTCCAAATAATATTTTTTTGGTGACTTATAACTAAATTCCCTATAGAAATTTATTATTGAAAACTACTACAAAGGTTAAATAGTATGTGTAATTTGTGATCCAGAGTGATTCTGTTAAAAAGTAAATCAAATCATGTCTCTTTTGCTCAAAATCCCCCCGTAGCTGCCATCTCCCTTGAGTAGAAGCCAAAGTCTTGACTACCTTCTATAAGGCTCTGTGTTCTCTCCCTCTGCCCCTGTCTCTTCTCTAACCTCATGCCCTACTACTCTCCTCTCTTCACTTCACTCTAGCCACAATAGGCTTCTCACTGCCATGAACCTCCCTGGCGAGCTCCTGCCCCAGGCCCTTTGCACTTGCTACCCCACCTCTTGGCCTGGAATGCCTCTTCCCAGGTACCCATATGGCTAACTCCTTTAGGTAATCTTTTCAGTAAGGACTCCCTGGCCACCCTGTCAAAAATCTCCTACTGTGTATTCCTCACCTCATCCCTACTGTCATCAACACATCATATATTCTCATTTCATGCTTTATTTTGTCTCTTTAGCATTCATTCTATTATTTTTTTTTAGCAAATTACAATGTTAGCTTCATCAGAAAGAGATTTTTGTCTTTTGCATTCATTCCTACATGTGCTGTTCCTAGAATAGCGCCTGGTACACAGTAAGCACTCAACACGTATTTGTTGAGTGAACGAACCCATCCTTCTTGGTGATATTGAGTGACTACAGCATGCTAGACATTCTGTTAGGCACTGCGGATACACAGGTGACTAAGACATGAACCTGACCTTGCGGATCTCACAACTGGTGGGAGCTTCATACATGCTACTGTGTTTCAGGCTAAA